AGCACAGTAAGTCCTTACACATAGTAAGGACTCAATAAATTATAGCTTTTCTTATTTTTTTATTACCATTACTATGATTTGACACTTTACCTACAGGTAATATTAACTTTCTTTTACACATTTTAGCCTCTTTAAATATAATGTAAGTCTTTATGAATAAGAAATCATGTTTTTCACTTTTCTGTGAATCCTCCAGAGTATCCAATGTGGCATCTGGCAAATATTAGGCTTTCGAAATATATTTAATTGAATGACCAAGTCATGTCCATAGTCATCAAGACCAAACGCTTCCTTAGAAAATGGTTCTATGGTGGCTCTGGCAGCACAGACTATTTCTCTGATTTGGCCACTGCTGCCTGGTTCCATCTGGCTGGGTCACATCAGTCCCTCACATCAGTATGGCTCTGCCTTGGAGACAATCTGCTTTTCTGAAATATTCTTGAGCCTCTGGCGTTTGCTGACTGCTTTCCATATTATGAGATGAGGCGATTAGATTGCAATATTAATAGGAATATTTGTTCAAGTGCCTCCTGCTAGGTAAACTTAAAGGCTGTTTCTCTGCCTCCTTATTGTAGGTACTGACCACAGCATTCCCTGCATTTATACTATTCAATTATGGGGAAAATGACTAAGAGGCAGAATGACATGTTTCAGGGTGGATATGATAGTCATTTTCCTTTGTGAAGTAAAAGCCTCTGAACATGTCACCAATGTAAATACACTTCACCCCACTGGGTATGTTTGTACATAATACTTACAATTTGTTCTTGGTTTTGTGGTGAACTGGCGGCACCATTTAATATCCATTGTAAGTTCTGTTCTCCCATGACTAGGCTGGACTGCAGGATAGCCGTGTTGGGAGTTGGGGTGATGGTTATAGTGGGATTATTAGTTAGGACAGAGTTGGCACCCAGGGGCAGAGTCTGGACCATGGCTGGCAGGGGCTCAGTAGTACTTTGTGGTGGGGCTGGTGCTGCCACAGCTGATGCCACCGCCGCTGCTGATGCAGAGGCCCCAGCAACAACAGAAAGTCCCGGTACGATGGGCTGCGGTGCCTGGGGGTGCGGAAGAAACTCTTGATGATTAGCAGCAAACTGTGTGCTGTGGGGAACAGGCACTTCTGGAGGTTGTAAGAGAGCAGGGGGGTTGCCAAATGCAGCTTGCTGGGAACCAGTTCCTAGGGAGGGAGCAGGCGGAGGAGCAGACGGAGCTGAGGCTGGTAGTAGAGGCTGGGGTGGCTCGGAGATGCCAGGCTGCAGTACAAGTGGAAGAGATAAAGATGCTGAATTTCCTGTGGGTGGTGGAACATCACTGACTGATTCTGCATCACCATTAAAACTTTCAATCAAGGCAGCTGGCAAGAAAAAGAAATAGAAATATATATACATATCCCAAGCCTTAGAGGAGCCACAAAAACACAGTCATTATGGGCTAAACAAAAGACAGCTAAAGTCCATTAGAGCCAATTCCTTCATTGCTGGCAGGCCGGCTTTCTGCTTTTCAAAGTATCGGGTTTCATAATCAAGCTCACTTTCTAAATGTGAAGACCTAGTATAGGTATAACCATAAAAAAAGTGTCAAAGTGTCCTAAGGCTTTTCTGGAAAAGAGACTAGACATCCTTCTCTTGGCATGACCAATAAATATACTTTCTGACTACTGTGAAGTTTTACAGAGAAATTTTCATTCAAACACAGTATGATCTATGCATCCAAAGCTCAGTTTGTGGGTCCTATCCACTCATGAACAGGGTATTATCACATCAGAAGAAAGAGCTCACAGCTCCTCCCATTCTTTAAAGCCAACAAGAGATTCTGGGAAAGGAGACCTTTTTCAGGACTGAGGGAAATAGGGGAAAAGATGGAATTGAATGAAAAGGCCTATACTTTTCTGACCCTTACCGGGAAGCCCGCTTCATTTAAGCTAACTGACTGGGATATTTCTTTGTGCCTGTCACTCAGTGTGTCAACAAGTACTGAGATGGGGGCAGGATGAGTCCGCATTAACACACCTGTCTGTCGTGGATCTTCCTGAATTGCTGTATCATCTGAATTCTGGAATATTGACTGAAAGATGACTACTGGTGAAACTGTGCTGAGGTCCTGGCCCTGTGTCTGTTGGAGAAAGATGGAGATGTGAAACTCTTCATCCTCAGACGGTTCTTCACCAAACAGAGCATATTCAGAACCCCAGAACTCAAACGATCTTCTGATCTGCCTCTTCTTTCTACCTTCTTCTATTTCAAAGTAACATATATTACCCTAAACCTTAGACACTGAATATTTGAGTCCTCAGATACTCTAAAATAGGAGTTGGCAAACTATGACGTGCCTGTTTTTGTAAATAAAGTTTTTTGTTTTTCTTTTTTGAGACAGAGTCTGGCTCTGTTGCCCTGGCTAGAGTGCCGTGGCGTCAGCCTAGCTCACAGCAACCTCAAACTCTTGGGCTCAAGTGATCCTTCTGCCTCAGCCTCCCGAGTAGCTGGGACTACAGGCACGTGCCACAATGCCCAGCTAATTTTTTCTATATATATATTTTTAGTTGTCCAGATAATTTCTTTCTATTTTTAGTAGAGACGGGGTCTCGCTCTTGCTCAGGCTGGTCTCGAACTCCTGACCTTCAGCGATCCACCGGCCTTCGGCCTCCCAGAGTGCTAGGATTACAGGCGTGAGCCACCACGCCCGGCCGTAAATAAAGTTTTATTGGAACACTGCAGGATAGCCGTGTTAGGAGTGGGAATGATGGTTATAGTGGCACTTATCCATTTAAGTATTGTTTATAGTTGTGAGTAGTTGTAACAGAGACCATGTGGCCCACAAAGCCTAAAATATTACTATCTGGCCCTTTACCAAAAAAGTTTGCTGACTCCTGCACTAAAAGATCAAATCCTACATAAAAATGGGATGTATAATATCCATTACTCTGCAATTTGCTTTTCTCATGTAATAATAACATATTGTGAATATCTTTCAAGGTCATTACATAATATCTATGATATTCTAATATGTACCCATTGTAATAAATCAAATAATACAACGAAACAATGACAAACAATGTTGATAGCTCTATACTTAATAAAAGATCAGAGGCATTTAAATAAAGATAAAATATGGGGGGACCCCAAGAAAATGTCTGAGGGCCTGACTACCAATAAGCACTAATTAAAATGATCACTCTTCACTTTAGTTAAGGGAAGGGGAAAAACCACCGTTCTTTTATCCACAGTCCACCGCCAGGCCTCCTCCACCTGTGTGTTCTGTGGGGCAAGAGTGATAAAGGCAACGGCCTACAGAAGACCAGGCAAGGCCGGGCACAGTGGCTCACGCCTGTAATCCTAGCACCCTGGGAGGCCAAGGCGAGCGGATTGCTTGAGCTCAGGAGTTTGAGACCAGCCTGAGCAAGAACGAGGCCCCGTCTCTACTAAAAAAATAGAAAGAAATTAGCTGGACAACTAAAAACACATAGAAAAAATTAGCCGGGCATGGTGGCGCATGCCTATAATCCCAGCTACTCGGGAGGCTGAGGCAGTAGGATTGCTTGAGCCCAGGAGTTTGAGGTTGCTGTGAGCTAGGCTGACGCCAAGGCACTCTAGCCCAGGCAACAGAGTGAGACTCTGTCTTGAAAAAAAAAAAAGAAGTCCAGGCAAACAACAGAATAAGTGAAGCAAGGGGGCAGATATGGGGGGTTGTGGCACAGTGGAGAGGATGCCCCTGGTCATCTGAAGGCTTCAGATGGATGCTGCCATGTAACTACACAGGCCAGAGATTACTTGAATGCAAGAAAGGGTGAAATTTGGATTTTTACATAAAATATACCAACTCATATTATAAATAAAAGCAAATACAGTTGACCCTTGAACAACTGTATTGGGTGCATGTGTATGTGGATTTTCTTCTGCCTTTGCCACCCCTGAAACAGCAAGACCAACTTCTCCTCTTCCTCTTCCTCAGCCTTCTCAATGTGAAGATGATGAGGATGAAGACCTTTATGATAATCCACTTCCACTTAATAAACAGCAAATTTATTTTCTCTTCCTTGTGATTTTCTTAACATTTTCTTTTCTCTTACTTTATCGTAAAAATACAGTATACAATGCATATAACATAGAAAATGTGTGTTAATCGACTGTTTATGTTATTGGTAAGGCTTCTGGTCAATAGTAGGCTATTAGGAGTTAAGTTTTGGGGGAAGTCAGAAGTTATATGTGGATTTGACTACGTGGAGGGCATCAATACCCCTAATCCCCACGTTGTTCAAGGGTCAACTGTATTTGAAAATAATTTAAGCACACTGTATAGGCCAGACTAAAGCCTATCTTCAGGCTAGATTTTGCCCCAGTGCCAACTTGTATTTGAAGGTCATTTTGCAACAATTCTGCTTCTGGGAGGGAGAACTCAGAAGGATCGTCCACCAATCTGGAGGTGCTCAGAGATGAGACTGCCCACTGTAGCCAAGAGAGGCCAATTATTCTATTATGATTCTATCAGCTGAAGAGTGAGAGGGGAAGTTCAATCATTCTGAATGCCAGTAGGATAGAAGCTGAAGGCAGAAACCTATGTAGGACTTCCACCTTCCAGTCCAGAGGGAGTCAAGACTCATAGGCCAATAGTGTGGCCTTCAAATTTCCATTGTGACACAAAGAAATATAATTTACATTATTTATACATATATACTTCGTATTATAATCATATTCATATGCGTAAGTGAAACAAAAGTCTATGGAACAGAGCTTACCCTTACTATGTGCAATGTCCTCTGATATTTTCTATTCTGTTGATGTCTTTGATATGTTAATTGTAAACCACGACTTTATTACATAACTCAATAAAAAGGGGCAATCCAGTTTGAAAAATAGTGGGCTAACAACTACCACTGAGTAGTAAGCTTTGCAACTTCCTCATGGTTATTATTTTTGTTCTACCTATTTATAAATCATTATCAGTAGTAACATCATTAAGAAGGAAAGGGCTATATTTGTCAATGATACCTCAATAACACTGGGGGAAAAAAACAAACAAAAAGGAATGTGCCTGTGCGCCTCCAACACATATGTATAAGACTGTTCACAGCAGGGCTATTTGTAATCACTCCAAACTAGAAACTATCCAAATGCCCAACAGGAGAAAGAACAAATTGTGGTATATTCATTTAGTGTAATACTGTTCAACAACAAGAATGAATGATCTATAACTATATGCAACAACGTGGCTTAATTTCTTAAACATAATGTTGCGAGAAAAAAGCCAGACACAAACAAGTATATGATTCCAAGCATAAAAGCAGAAAAACAGGAAAAACTAATCTCAGTTGTCAGAAGTCAGAACAATGATTATCCTTAGGGAGAGATAATGGCTGTCTGGGGCATGAGGGGTGCCTGGAATGCTCTGTTTCTTCATCTGGGTGCTGGTTACATGGGGATGATGAACTGTGATGATTAATCAAGCTGTACCTTTATAATACACACACTTTTCTGCTGTATATTGTACCTTAATAAAAAGTTTTTTAAGATTTAAAAGAAAAAAAAAGGAAAATGCTGAAGCCACTGCGAGGCTTCACAGTAAAAACCCTGGGGGCAGAGTGAGTGGGAACAACTCTGAAAAGTGGAGGAGATAGGAACAGGCTGAGCCTCTGAGGCCTGGAGCAAACACAAAGAGCAGGCACTGGGGGCTGTGTGGGACCAGGGTAGATCCTGGAGGTCAGCAGCCAAACGGCCCAGTGGGTCATTCCCTACCAACTTCAACCCTCCTTTAACAAAAGATATGAGCAAACCAGAGTTCATTTCTAGGACATGCATACACATGTGGCTGCTGAGAAACCCATAAAATGATTATCTAACACAAATTTATCATTTGATTTTAACAAATTCTAATTTTTATTTTATTTATTTGAGATGGAGTCTCGCTCTGTCACCTGGGCTAGAGTACCGTGGCATCAGCCTAGCTCACAGCAACCTCCAACTCCTGGGCTCAAGCGATTCTCCTGCCTCAGCCTCCCAAGTAGCTGGGATTACAGGTGCATGCCACCACACCCAGATAATTTTTCTATTTTTAGTAGAGACAGGGTCTCACTCTTGCTCAGGCTGGTCTTGAACTCCTGAGCTCAAGTGCTCCTCCTGCCTCAGCCTCCCAGAGTGCTAAGATTATAGGCATGAGCCACCATGCCTGGCCCTAATTTTTTTTTTTTTTTAAAGCAAAGCAAAATTAATCCTATTGCTTCAAGTAATTACAGCCTTAATTTGAAAGACTAAAATCAAACTATTTCCAAATCTGGGATAAATGCTGGGTACAAGGGGCATAATATACAATTAAATTCCAAGGGACAGAGCTCCCTTCTCTTGATGATATAAACTGTGGTAGAAAAGACTTCCCTTATTTACAAATATTTAATATTCCCTTATACCAGAGTATCTCAGTTGGTGATCCTATGGCTCCAGAAAACTCCTCAGTCATATGTCACAGTCCTGGCCAGAGAGTGGCCAAAGTTAACACAGTTAAATGTTAAAGGGATATTATACCCAGAAATCTTAGTTGGGTAGCTTAGAGGGCATCTAGGCCACCCAGCATAGAAATTTCTTTTAGATCATTAGTTGTGAAATATGAATATGCACAAAAATCATATGAAACGCTTCATCTTTTTCTCTTTGTTCTTCAAATTAGTTCATTTCTATTAATCTATCTTCAATGTAACTAATTCTTCTGTGATTTCCAATCTGCTATTAAGCCCATCCAGTGAATTTTTTATTTTAGATATATTTTTCAGTTCTAGATTTCCATTTGGTACAATTTTTATATTTCCTATATCTCTGCTGAGATTTCCTATTCATTCAATCATTTCAAGCATATTCCTTTATGTCCTTGAGCATATAAGAGCTACTTAAAAATCCTTATTCCATTAAAAAAGTTAAAAGAAATCCTTGTCTGTTAATTCTATTATCTAGATGGGTCATTGGAGTTGGTCTCCAAAGGTTATCTTTTCTCTTGAGCAGGAGTCATGTTTTCCTGTTTCTTCATGCGTTCACTAATTTTGGATTGCTCTGAACATTGCAAATTATAAATTGTAGAGATTCTGGATTCCTTTATACTTCTTGGAAGAGTGTTTATTTCTTTGTTGATGTGAACATTCTGTTAACTCCCACGCAGTGGGACAGCAGCTGCAATCTTTGTTCAGTTCTTTAGCCCTACCTGGGCTACTTAGTGTCTGTTCCCCACATCCAAAGTTCAAGGATCAGCCAGAGATTTGGGGAGAGTTTATACACAGAACTTGGGGCTCCCCTTTTATGACTCTTTAAGGCTATCTCCCCTCACTTCCCAGGTGCTGTGATCACCCTGAACTCTGCCCTCTGGTTATTCAAGCCAGTAAGACTGAGTTTTCTACTGAGTTTGGCCACCTTGCCTTGTCTGGTGCCAACTAGGGCTTGCCCATTAAATCTGCAAGCCTATTCAGTGCCTTTACCATCTTCCAAGCATCCCTTCTTCCAAGGTTACTTCTGTTTGCTGTTGGTTGTTTGCCAGTGCCTTTTGCATAGTTGTTTTTTATATTTTTTCCAGTGTTTATAGTTGTTTTCTATGGGAGAGTTCGTCTCATAAGAGCAACTCTGCTATTACCAGAAGGAGAATCCAGGCCTTGGGTGCTTATATAAAAATGCAGTTTCAGGCCAGGCG